GTTGGTGATTCCTGCGGCAAAAACATATACAAATGCATTCCAGTGCTTTAAAACGCCTTTGATATTCACCTCACCCCATAACCAAAAAACCAAGCATCAGGACTGCCGTCCACGCAGAAACTAAACGCGAGCAAAAAACGATTGGACTCACGATAGTAGCACACTTGTGGATAATCATAGCCGCCTGCGGCGGACCCCACAACCGCTGTAGTAGCTGGTGAACGACCCATAACGGCTTTCGACTGCTGAACTGGCGAAGGATAGCCGGCAGCAGAGTGGTACTGCAGCAGCTGCGCGTCGATCATGTTTAAGGGAACTGTGCTTCGAAGGTAACTGAGTTGAGCTGCATTTGCATCAAGGGGGACAGAAGATATCATCTTATCTCGATGACAGCTAAAAAGCATAGAAAAGAGTTTTAAACACGAGCATCGACTAGCGAAAAATAAGTAAAATCGACATTTGCCTCTGAAAAAAAACCGGGAAGCCAAGGAGCATACGAAAATCACCATTAGCATCAGTGCATTGAGCGCAACAGACAAGATAAAATTGCGAGATGATAAGATGCGAAAACAGATGTGCTCTAGAGAAGATCCCTTCTAGTCAGTCGTAATGTTTTGTGCACTACCCTACCCTTTATGAAGCGATTCGGCCCGATAGATTGAAAATTTAATGCCACATAACTTTTGCATTCTACGAGACGAGATCCTGCATTAAAACTTTCGCCTGATTCAACAGGTTGAACGTACAATGATAACGCGACATAGTGGAGTGTTTGCTGATATGCCAACGCTCTCCTCTATTTGTATATACTACCCGCCAACTAGGATTCCATGACATCGCAGTTTTTATAAATCGGTTTATAAGCTAGATCTTAAAGGAGTTAATTATTTGACATGAGGAAAATAAAGAAATTAGCTGAACATGAAGGAAAGGGGTTATTACAAATATAATAAACATGCGAATTTCCGATAGATAATAATTTATTTTAGTGGAAGGAATGCCATCGTTGTCCTATGAAACACAACCATTGGAAGCAAAGTATATGAAAGAAACAATCTGCCGCACTATGATCTAGAGCGTAAAAAGGGGGTTAATTTTACGATGCATGGCCGGAACACGTCGTGTATAAGGGGACACCCTAGCACAGCTTAACTGTGTATTTGGAATAGCCCTTTCGTCTTCTACTTAAAATAGTTTAGATCGACGTACTCGAAGTCTCAACACAGGCCATATAGAAACAACTAACAGAAACGTAGGAATATGTGTAACAAATTTACCGGTGCGGCTGGCTGAGGGATTATAGTTAAGTGACCACATGGAAGTTTTAGGGATTATTGCAATTACAAGGCATTAGCGGCATGCTTGCCTCCAACACCCAAAAAGCAACTCAGCTAAAAATGCAGGACACAGATGGCTAACTTTCGTGAATATTTATCACCTATTTGTGTCAGTATCAGTGCTGCTCGAAGATGTAAACACGATAAAAGTGAGAACGGAAGCCTAGCAAACGTATGGCGGGACGGACATATGGTTTTTAAAAGGCTGCTCACACACAGACGATCGTGTGTCGAAAAGGGGGACACTGCTAAGAAGACGATTTGGTATAATATTATTCCATCCGATAGTGGCATATCACTAGTGGATAATATTTATCAGATGCCCACTGCGCGGTCGCTTAAAGAAAGAATCCAAAATCATCTAAACTCGAATAGCTAAATGTTACTTTTCTAGATGACGGGCGAAAAAGCCCAGCAAGTGTGGTCACTTGGACACATTTACCAATACGTGGACCTAGGTCACATACCGACATCTCGAGAAATTGAAAATGCGTTGATATTTAATAGCCCAGTTAAACTGGATCCGGTTTTTGGGCTATCATGCACAGCCATGATTTCTGATACGCAATTTACTATATTATTGACGATATCTTAACAGAGTTCATTCGCAACGATGAGGTGGGAGGTGGCGACCGTGATGACCATGTCAGGTTTCCATTTTGGGCACTGGAATGAAAGTTCTGACCTCATTCGCTTAAAGGAGTTCTCTACTGCAACCAGAGGGCGAACAGACATCGTTTTTTTCGGGAGACTTCAGGTAACCGCGTACCTGACAGTTTTTTTTGTGAAAATGCGCACGAGTTTTAAACCTTCAACTGGAAACTAAGGTCAGTCAGCAGAGTCGTTGAGAAATTCACAGTCACAAAGATATCGTCAGGCCAACGAGGAGCAGGAGAACGGCATCGGAAGCAAAATCAAAGCCAGATGAAAAACGGAAAAGTGGAACCAAAAATATGCGTAGGGTGTCTCCTTGACAGATAAAGCAGCTCGTTGCAGGTGACGCGTTCTGTGGCGATATCAGAGGAACGTTGATTAGAACGCCTGAATTCAAGCCCCCCTTGTTTGAACATCCCCATAGATATGTATTAGTATAAAGCAATTTAAAAATTCTTATCGTTAACCTTAATGAAACCTTATGAAACACGTAACGTTCAGCTGCATTTTAACAGAGCTCAAAGGTTGAAACGAATTTGCTTGATTTCCAAGTCATCTAGTGAAGGGGGAACGTTCAATGATTCACTGAAATAGCATTTCCTCCTGAAGTTCTAGCGATTCCAAAGATTTCGATGACTGAAAAAATCTAAAGCCCACACTGTCACAGCCTGCTGAATAGATGGGATTATTTAGTATCTATACCTAAATAAATAGGTTATTTTGGCTGCTTTGTTTTCAACTGGAGGAAATATCTAAATTAGAAGGAATTCTGTATTTGCCGAAAACAGTTCATTTAGCTTTCGCTTTGCGGTGTTTTAAATTTACTTGTGTTACATCTGACAGGTACTTGAATTCAGTGATTGTATCTTACTTTATGAACGTCCATGGATAGGCCCATTCCGCATGTAACTGGTGTTTCAATCCAAGTATGTTTCAGGAAATTAGAACAAAGATTTGAATCACTTGCCGCTCAGATAATGTAAACCTCTGACTTTTACTTTATCAAATTAAAACGCTTTTTCCCGGTATAAATTTGAACAAGACAAAAGCGAAGAAACGTGCATAATTTATTGACGTCATAAAATTCGTCGACCTCTTGTTCAACTGCACGCGGTTCATTGCATCACCAGTCCACGCAGTAGACATCGTCTAGGTTATCAAACATTCATCAATAGCAAACGTAGAGGAATCTTTTTATGTTATGACTTGCAATATTACTTGTATTATGTTTTTGCCAAATCAAATCACATGTTTTCGGAAAAAGGCACTTTACCATGAATGACTTGACAGAAAGCAGATAAATAATCCCTATTTCCTACAGAAGTGAAAGCTGCTTCTATCTTACGAAAAAATTGGAAACAACTTGTGCTAGCCTCTTATAATGCTGCAAAGCTGAATGTGTAATGGCGACGACCAAATCCTCTGTAACCACTTCTTTTCTCGAGCGGACTGGCGATTTTTGCTGGAAAACTAAACTACATGGTAATAGCGGAGTTACCTTCGGGAAATATTGTTACGCTCAAAGGGAGAGTTAATTCGAAAGCAACAAGTTGTTTAGAAACCTTCCACTTTTTTTGGGATGTACGTTGTGCCAAACACGCTTACCAAGAAAATGAAAAACTTTCTCCAATTGCGAAGACATCTATTCTCCGGTGAACTTCCAAATGAATTGTTCCCTGAAACATTTAAGTACTTAGGTCATCCTAAGTTACTGGTATTCAAGTCACAATTACGCAAACACCATACACCGGAAAGTATAAAGGCTTTTTTAACGGTCTCATTCCCGAAAACTCAGCCTCTTGAATTCGAGAAGGGTCGGTCTGGGATTTAGTGGTAGATTAAGTGGAAACGTCCACTTATATCTGCACAACCCACTGTTTTTATTTGATTACTGAGTTCAGTGTGATCAATCATCTCCCATAGCGTTGATTTTCGCGGTCCTTTATGTCATCTCTCGCATTTCGACCTCAAGCGGTCTGTCGACGCTCACGACGGAACCATCTGTATTCCTCGTCTAGTAGTAGTTTGGTCGTACCTCTCATGCCCACTCCTCGGGTGGGCTCGAAGCGGACGGTGACCGATCGCGTCTGGGTTCCTCTCGTCTCTTCACTATGACGCGAAAAGTCTCATCCAGCGTATTAATTCTGCCCTAACGATGTCCGTTTTGAATGCCTTATACAATACCGCACGCAGGCCAATCCCGTCTGACCCGCTTACGTACCTCCGAAGGCTGAGATTTATTTTTGCCCTTACACTGTTCGATCATAATTCGTTATACACCGCCACATTCAGGCCAGTCCTGCCCGCATGCTTGTGTTATTATGAGCGACAGGTTTTTTCTCCTGTAAAGTCAATCCAATCACTTTTCTAATTATTGAGTAGATTTTTCACTGCTCGTTCATCATTTTTCTTAACGGACTACTTATTCGGAAACTATGAATTACATTTTGTACGGATTCTGCCTGCCATGTCTAAAATTTATATGAAAATTTATTTTTACTTGCTTTGATGGGGCTCAGATGGGTCTGTAATAAAACATTATTTATTCATTTAAGACCACTTTTATTCTTCTAGTATACATGTCAGAACCTCAGTCAGACTCCTACGACTACCGAGGCGTTCATAAAACTCTGGCTCTATCAAAACGTCTAAAAATGATTTTTTTTCAATGGAATTACTGATACCCGTTTAGCTATTAGCTTTTGTACTCTACCCAGCATAGATTTTTTCCTGGAAGTCCACCCTACTCTTGCCGCTCAACACTTCCTAACCTGGTCATTCCCCTTTGTATAAAGCAGCAGTCAGTGCTAGTGGTCTATTTTCACGTTAGCAAAGTTTTCAGTAAGGTCCTGCAAAGACGTCTTCTAGAAGAACTCGAGCTCCTCGGAATGCACCCACCTGTACTCGGCTTCGTTGGTTCCTACTTGCCAAACCGCAGTGAAAAGATCCTGGTGGGTAATAGCTATTTGCCTCCTCATCCGATCGAATGTGGTGAATATCAGTGTGTGGTTCTAGTTTCGCTACTCCCATTTTTACATCACCGAAATATCAACAATAATTAGAAATGCGCAAGCGATGATTTATGCTGATGGTTTTACGTATGCTTACTTATTTTCCTAGGACAACGCAAGTGTTTGTGTTGGAAATGTTACTCCGATATGCTTTCGCTGCCAGAATGATGCTCGGCCTGACAGATATAGTTTGCTCCATTAAGATGTAGTGTCATGTGTTTCGGTCCCTTCAAGATTCCCGTCCTCCAAAGTTTCTAAAATAGTCGTCTCACTGGACGATCCATCAACATGGACCTGGGTTTAAGTTACAGGAGTATGTATACTTTATCTCCTAATGTAGATATAACTGCGAAGGCATCACTGATTTTTCCATCTGAAAACAAAGCTAAAATTCTTCCACACCCCATCCTTGAGTACTGCTTTCTTTTCTCTGGTTTATAGAATGCATACGACTGCTGCGAAATCGAAAAATGTTCAGACTGTTTTTAGGCAAAACTCTTTTCTTCTTCTAGTCCAGTGTCTCATATCCGAGAAATGCCAGTTAGTGACTGAGTAATTTCTATGGGTTATAAGATTCGAGGCCGGCCCTTGCTTTTTTCCACATTAATTTTAGCCCTAATTATTCCAATTATTAACTCGATCAGTCCAGTAAGTCGGCCTTATGCCAATCATCGTTCTTTTATAATCATTTCACCACTTCTCTGTTTCACCATTTGAACGCCAGTTTCCTCTGTCTTTTTGGTCTCTTCCTTTTGGCCCAACATGGACGAAAAAACCTTATCAAACAAGAAGTGTATGATTGCATCCATCACGTCCTGGAGTGATTATCTTTGCGGCCCTTAACGTTTCCTCTCATGTCGCTAATTAACGAACTGTTGGCAGTTGCGACGAGATTCCTGTTTTCGTTTCCTGGTCTGTGGCTTCTTCTATTGACAAGAAGCGTCATGGTTACATCTTCCGCACCTTGTCGATGAGCTTCTTGACCTTTCCAGTCTCCTTCCCGTCTCGACCCTAAGCAAGCTGTTCGTTGGGTGATGCTGCGTGCGCTGGGACTGCGCCTAGCGTCCACTTGCTGGCACTCAACTCTCACCTGTGGCTCCACGTAGCTGGACTCTGCTCAGCGGCCCCACCCCGGGCAACCGTCTCGACCGGCGGGCTAAACCAGGTGAGGGGGCCCTGTGCGCTGTGCCGTGTGCACAGGGTTTGCGGATTCCGCTGGATGGAAGGTCGGATGGAACCTTGCGTCGGCACCGTCGTGACGTGGTTCGCCTCTGCACGCCACTGGACAGACGGTGACGGGATGGATCTCCACATCGACAAGGCCTTGACGCGCCCACCTACGCCGTCGGAGACCGCGGCTTACGGCGAATTCGAGTCGCTCTCCACTACAACCCGAAGTCGTGGTCCCATAGTGGATTTCGGCCGCGCCACAACGGCACATGGCAGCCCTATTCAGGGATGGCACTGCCAGCCCCCACGAGGGGAAGGGCCTAGAAAAGGTGGCCTAAACATTGCTGAGTACCACGCCGTCTCCAGGCTAGCCAGGGCCGCAGACGTCTTATCATGGTTGAAACAATCAAAATCGAAACAACAACAATACCAACAACAATAATAATAATAATAACAACAACAACAACCATACTCATTCTCCTCATCCTACCTCTTTTTCCTCTTCCTCTGCCTATTCTTCTCCTTCGTCACCTTCTTCTCCATCTCCTTCCCGTCGCCCCACTCGTTGTCACCAGACTGGCAGGGTGAGACCGCTCACTCTGGCAGCCTGGAATGTTCGTTCCCTTTTAGACAATCCGAGGAGCAACCGACCGGAACGGAGGACGGCGTTAGTGGCACGAGAACTGGCGCGCTACAAGGTGGACATCGCCGCACTCAGCGAGACCCGATTCTCCGAACAAGGCCAACTGGAGGAGGTTGGTGCCGGCTACACCTTCTTCTGGAGCGGTCGACCCAGGGCAGAGCGACGGGACGCGGGTGTCGCCTTCGCCATTCGGAACGACATCGTGGGACGACTGCCCTGTTTGCCGCAGGGTATCAATGATCGCCTGATGAGCCTCCGCCTGCCTCTCTGGGGAGGCAAATTCGCCACCATCATCAGCGCCTACGCTCCGACGTTGACCAACCCCGACGCCGTTAGAGACAAATTCTACGAGGACCTGCACGCCCTCTTGGCGACTGTGTCGAAGGCGGACAAGTTGATGGTCCTTGGTGACTTCAACGCTCGCGTCGGCACAGACCATACTGCCTGGAGAGGAGTACTGGGTCCCCACGGTCTCCGCGGCTCAAACAACAATGGTCTGCTGCTTCTCCGCACCTGCGCAGAACACCGCCTCATCCTGACGAACACGTTGTTCTGTCTGCCGGAGCGAGAGAAGGCCACCTGGAGGCATCCTCGGTCGCGCCAGTGGCACCTGCTGGACTACGTCCTCGTCCGGAGGCGAGATCAGCGGGACGTGCTGGTGACGAAGGCGATCGCGGGTGCTGACGGGTGGACCGACCATCGCCTCGTCATATCGAAGATGCGTATTCGACTACAGCCTCGCAGGAGACCACAAGGTAAGCGACCCCAGGTAAGCGACCCCCAGGTAAGCGACCCCCAGGTAAGCTGAATGTTGCTTTGTTGTCTTTGCCCGCTTATCATCTTCATCTCAGCAACGAGCTAGCTCAACGGCTAGACAACCTCCTCATCGCCGATGCCGCCGCTGCGGAGAACGCCTCCGTGGAGAACCGCTGGTGTCAACTGCGAGACACGGTCCAGTCGACGGCGCTCGCCGTCCTCGGTCGCGCTCCCCACCAACACCAGGACTGGCTCGACGACAACGACGCCGCCATCTGAAATCTGCTAGCTGAGAAGAAACGCCTACACAAAGCCTACGTAGATCACCCCACTGATGCCACCATAGCTGCCTTCTACCGCAGTCGCCGCCAACTTCATCAACGACTGCGCGAGATGCAGGACGCCTGGACTACTCGCAAAACTGAGGAGATCCAAGGCTACGCGGACCGCAACGAATGGAAGAACTTCTTCTCTGCGATCAAAGCTGTTTACGGTCCGCCGACGAATGGCACTTCTTCTCTCCTCAGCGCCGACGGCAACACTCTCCTGACTGAGAAGACGCAAATCCTGCAGCGATGGGCCGAGCATTTCCGAGGCGTCCTCAACCGCCCCTCCGTCATCTCCGACGCCGCCATCGAGCGTTTGCCGCAAGTTGAGACCAACGTGGACCTCGACCTCCCGCCATCTCTCCAGGAGACCATCAGGACCGCGCAGCAGCTCTCTAGCGGTAAAGCACCCGGATCGGACGCAATCCCTGCTGAGGTTTACAAGCACGAATGTCCCCAACTGATGGATCACCTGACTGCGCTCTTCCAAGAGATGTGGCGTCAAGGTGAAGTCACGCAAGATTTCAAAGACGCAACCATCGGGCATCTCTACAAGCGCAAAGGAAATCGCCAAGTCTGCGACAATCACCGCGGCATCTCCCTGCTGAACATCGCCGGGAAGATCTTCACCCGCATCCTTCTCAACCGCCTCAATAACCATCTGGAACAGGGCCTTCTGCCGGAAAGCCAATGCGGCTTCCGTCGTCATCGTGGACCACGGATATGATCTTCGCCGCCCGTCAACTACAAGAGAAGTGTCAGGAGATGCGGACCCACCTGTACTCTACCTTCGTGGACCTGACGAAAGCCTTCGACACGGTGAATCGTGAAGGACTGTGGAAGATCATGCAGAAATTCGGCTGTCCGGAGCGATTTACTCAGATGGTGCGTCAGCTGCACGACGGTATGATGGCGCGAGTCACGGACAACGGAGCTGTCTCAGAGGCATTCGCAGTGACCAACGGAGTGAAGCAGGGCTGCGTACTGGCGCCTACCCTCTTCAGTCTTATGTTCTCTGCCATGCTGATGGACGCCTACCGCGACGAACGCCCCGGGATCCGCATCGGCTACAGGACGGACGGTCACCTGCTGAATCAACAACGTATGCACTTCCAATCGCGCGTATCCACAACCACCGTTCACGAACTCCTCTTCGCCGACGACTGCGCCCTGAACACCACCTCAGAAGAGGAGATGCAACGGTGCATGGACCTGTTCTCCGCCGCCTGCGAGAACTTCGGTCTGGTCATTAACACGCAGAAGACGGTGGTGATGCACCAACCGCCACCCAACTAAGCCACAGCCCCCAACGCGCCGCCGCAAATCAGCGTGAACGAAACCCAACTGCAGGTGGTGAAGAACTTCCCGTACCTGGGGAGTACTCTCTCCCGCAACACCAAGATCGACGACGAAGTCACCAACAGGATCTCTAAAGCCAGTCAAGCCTTCGGTCGCCTCCAAAGCACAGTTTGGAATCGCCACGGTCTTTAGCTGAGCCCCAAGCTGAAGATGTACAAGGCCGTCATCCTGCCGACACTACTGTATGGAGCGGAGACTTTGACTGTGTACGCAAAGCAGGCACGTCGTCTGAACCACTTCCACCTCACTTGTCTTCGTCGCATCCTGAGGCTAAAGTGGCAGGATCGAATCCTCGACACTGATGTGCTGGAACGGACGGGAATCCTCAGCATCTACGCCATACTGAGGCACATTCAGCTGCGATGGAGCGGCCATCTGGTGCGCATGGACGACGAGCAACTACCCAAACGACTCTTCTACGGAGACGTCGCGACGGGTTCTCGCCGTCAAGGAGGCCAGATTCGCCGTTACAAGGATACCCATAAGTCCTCCCCGAAATGCCTGCAAATCAACCCGACCAACTGGGAGGAGCTCGCACTCCATCGACCGACCTGGAGGAGGACAGTGAAGACAGGCGCTGCGATATACGAAGCCAACTGCATCGCTGCCGCCAAAGCGAAACGTGAAGCCCGCAAATCACAACTTCGCCCAGTAGGCAACGCCGCCGCACAATCGCTTCCAACGTGTCCTCGATGTCAACGGACATTCCGGGCTCAAATCGGACTTGTTGGACATCTTCGGATTAACCGCGCCTCTCGAACGGCACCAACCATTGCCCCCCCGCCTGCCTCTTCCTCCTCCTCTCCGCCGCCAACTAACCCTGACAATTCTTCCGACCCACCACTTCCATCACCCTTTTCCTCCTACTCCTCCTCCTCCTCCTTCTCCTCCTCCTTCTCCTCCTCCTCCTCCTTCTCGTCCAGTGCTCATACGGCGGACGCTCAGGCGATTGTCCCGCGCACAACAACCAACACTACCACCACCTCCCCCGACTCCAGGGATGAGGATCAGGACTACACCTGCCCTCACTGCGACCGTACCTTCACCTCACACATCGGCCTGGTCGGTAACTTGCGAATCCATCGCACAGAGACTGGCGAACCAGTGCCTGAAACACCAGCCTATTCGGCCACATGCGCATCCACGATGACCTGCGGTAGACAACCGCCGGCCACACCACACATTCACTCACTCCCTTCGTCCTCCTCCACTACCACCATCACCGCACCAGAAATCAACTCTCACACACCTCATGCACCCAACTGCCACCTCCCACGCAAGTGGGAAGTCCGCATCTCGACTCGGTCCCCATGCGGCTTCGGCTGCACGGGTGACTTGAGTCCGAGACTATCCCGACACGTCAAGCGTCGTGGATAGGAAGGTTGCTGATTGACGCCCGCTCTCGTTTCACGCAGTTCGTCGCGTTGTGTGTGTTGCGTGGAGTGGCGGACTGGTGGGCTGGGGACGGGCTGAAACAGCACCTTCCACGGCCCTCTCACGCAAGTGAGAGACACGCCGTTCAACCCCCGTTGTGTGAAATCCTGGTGTTGTGTGTATGGAGGGCCAGGTCATGCCGTGGCGCGCGCAGTCATGGTCATTCGACCATGACAGCCACCGCGCCCATTCCCCACTCCAGTCTGCTGACCGGCTCGGACAGCGGCTGGGGTGTGGGAGTGGGAAGGGAGAGTGAGGTCGACGACTCAGCGCACTTCCTCCTCACTATAAACAATCTGACGCGCTTGAAGCTATCACGGTGCGCGAAAAGCCGTGGCTTGGAAGGTTGCCAACTGACGGGGTAACTTGGACCTCCTGCTTGACCGGTGGCGGTCTGAGAGTCAGGCTGCAATGGCTCCTTTTTAATGTGGCCTTTATGGCCCTCCCACCATAGTGTGGGATCCGAGCCAGGCGTTGGTGGCACGCCTAGGTGCGGCTTCGGTCGTGCCAGCCTACAATCTCTGTTGTGTTGGTTGAAATCCTGGTTATTTGTTGTGTGGACCAGGGGGTGTGGTGGAACGCCAAGGTGAGGATCCGTCCGAGCCATTCACCTACGGCCTCTCTCGTCTCCGGTCTTCTTGACTCTGTCTTGACACCGGGCTCGGACGAGGGAGGAGGAGAGAGTGTAGGTAGATGCTACGCAAGTCTACCGGCACTATAAATCCCTGCGTAAGTCACCGTCCCTGCTCCCATTTCTGCTGCAACTGTTGGGCACACGGTGGACATCATCGAAACGGATGGTCGAACTGTCAGGTAAGGAATGCTTTGTTCGTTGGTTCTGGGATATCGACATTTATGAGAGTTATTCAAAGATGTATTTCATGGAGTTTCGCAATTTAAACACGGTCTCTAAGTTAGCAAGAGATGTAAGATCGACTGGGGTCTTAAATGTGAACTGGAGACGACAAACAATTTCATTTCGATATTGATTTTTTGGCGTAGAAGCGACTGCCACAAAAAACACTTTAACTTGATGATATTACAAATTTATAGACGAGTTCATTCCTACTTCTTCAAAAAATCAGTTGCGCCGCTGTTTTCAACATCAATCATTGCCACTTTTAGCACAAGTGCTGTCGCTTCCAGTGTGCGAGTCGCCGTTGGCTGTAGATGTGCCTTTGTGTGCTGGACAATTCGGGCAAATAAATGCGGTTTCACCGTAACCTTTAATCACAAGTTAGCATCATGATATACGTAGACCAGGTTTAATCAACCTGAAGCCTTTTCACTTCTTCCACTCCATTTCCCATTTCTGCCTACGTGGGCTATGTCTTAAACGAACTCGCCATTTTCACTTCAGTGATCGAAAAAGCGGGTAATTTGATTTTACTAGGCAGAGGTGGCTGATGATCGTCTCTGATCACCAATAATTTTGTTATATTTCTATGTCATTTTCGATGCACATACTAGTATCAAATTCGTACCTTTATTTCTTCCATGAATACGGTCCGCACTTTGACCATCTCACTCGTCACGACCATTCACGCATAATCCAGATGTCCAATATTCAAACCTTGCTCACTTCACGATAGAGGAGTATAATGAGCAGTACCATGGTTCTTTTACTGTGCCCAATTTTCTCGTTCACTGTCTCTGTGTTTTCCTCAGCATCGACAGTGTCCTCTAGACGTTTAATAAACCGACACACATAAAGTATGTTTTGTTCTGTTAACCTAGTTGTGAGTCATGCATCTTTAGTGAATGTTCATCCCCTACTGTATACATAGCCTTAATGTTTTATGGTTATTGACTATTACCTCCAACCAATTGCGTTCATTCCCTAAGACGTCGAACTTGTTTTTGCTGGGCATACTGTAACAAGTCTTCTTGGTTAAGGACCGGTGTGACGCCTCATTAATCAGTAAAAAATATCGTCATTATTAACCTACCGATGCTACAGTCGGTCGGAGTTTTGTTTAATTCAAGAAACGAAAATATTTGCCCGGTTACTTTTACCACTTCCATTAGGTTCCTTCGTATTGTCTTAAGTGCAAGAGAACATCCAAAGTGGACTAATGTGTCTTACACTATAGAATCAATATCCCACTTTATTTAATAAATGTCTATTTTATTACAAGAACTCAGTAGGTGCAAAGTGTAGCAATTGTTAGTCCGAAATAACTATGAACTTTTCGCTCGTAGTTTCTAATAGGGAGGAAAACTCAACAGGAATACCCTCTTTCCCGATATCCCGTCATATTTGTATCTAGAACACCATTCTGCTTACCCACCATGTTATACAGTGAAAAAGCTAAACCCAATTAACTATTTTAATAGTTGGTTTTGTCTTAAGTTTAGCAGTGTTTTTCTTGCTTTCGGCATAATTCCTCGATAGCTGGATTCTAAGCGGAATCTCATCCTGAGGACCAATTCGAGCAATCAGACTCATCTGACCCGAAGTTTCGTTCCGATGAAACGTCAGGTAGCTTTAAGTAATGTCTAACCTTTTGTTTGATATGCCCATCTCCGAAGTGTCGACCCATTATTCGAATCTCAAGATTTCGATACCAAATATCTTTTGTGCAGCCGGGCAGAAACCTCGAAACCATATTTTACGTTCATCACCAATCTCTGGGCTACGAAAGTCCCTTCTGACAAAGACAAACTCAGACCCCTTTGAGCATTTTGCGATAAGTACCATGTCTGGCCGCTAACGTTATCAGGATCATAACATCGGTCTAATCAGATAATGAATTCTGTCCTGCTACTAAGAAATATATGAACGTACAAAGTAGGTTAGGAGAAAGATATCCTTAGTTTAGAAGGATTTTGATGCCGCTGATATTCCCTGGCCAACATAAGTTGGTCAGTTTAAGTCAGCAAATGTTACTAGCGATCTATTGCATGTTAACGAACAAAGTCATTTATTTGAACGTCGCTTTCAGAAGGCGGTCCGAATAAGAGCAAGCTGTCTTGACTTTACCTTTACCCTTAAGGTGGACAGTCAACTTGACTTGCTAGGTCGGTCACTAAGAGAATCTATCGTTCTCATTGTCCTGTATTGCAAGTGCTCAGTGCGTTAACATGCGTTTCTGTGACAGTGGAATTCATTGTTATATCGCCGTACCAAGCATACCTTGCATACCCACAAAGTTATCCACTGCCCAGCCCTGTCAACTCTCTATCCGCCAGCGCGGCTACTCATAAAGGCATAGCGAAACCTATCCTGCGCACGCCTCCATTGCACACACATGGCATAAATCGGCCTGGTCGGTCACTTACGAATCAATCGTACAAGGACTGGATAACCAATGTCTGACGTACCAACATGCACCAACCGTCCCAACTCAGTAGGCATTTGGGCCACCCCTCTTTGTTGTTTGAAACATTGGTCAGCTTCTCATAGGGGACCAGGGAGTGTGCTGGTACGCATGACAACGGGGTCCGGTCCCGTCTCCGGCTCTTCTGTTATGTCATGACACCGGGTTCAGGTGGAGGAGAAAAGAGAGTAGTAGATGGTACGCAAGTCTTCCGACTGAATCTAAGTAGCTGGTTTATCTTCGCGATCCATTTTATCTGCGACTCTTATTTTTACTCAAACCTCTACCATTATTAAAAACTGATTTACGTGCCAGTCACTAGCTTGTCCACATTATACTGCAGGACACACGGTATACATAGTCGGAAACGATAGTAGAATTGTCTTATATGATATGCGCGTCAGAAGATACTTACGCAGACCCATCAGTGAAATAGTGAAATAAGGGAAATATGGAAAAGAAAATTATGAGTTAGGGCAAATTTTCTACCTAAGACTTGCGCAATATCAAGGGTCGCATATCGTGACTCTAAATTTCGCGAATAATACTGATATTTGTTAGGTATTTTATTTTGCTAGGTTTCCATTCATCACTGAAAGTCGGTCTTCCCAAGCGTTTTTGAAGCGTCAAAATTCAAAGAACGAACACTCGGCATTCACGGCAAACATGCTACTGATAATCTGCATTGCCTGTTGGCCTTGATCTGACGCGCATTTGTAGATGTTGGTGTGAGTGTTGATATAAACACCTTTCCCATAACTGCAATTGCAGTAGTAAAAAATAAACAAACTCATTTTTGATAACCTTAAACCTTCTGCAATAATACTACCTGAGCCAACTCCCTATCGTTAACGTGGTTTTGGTTTGGAGCGTGTTCTTGGAGAGCGCCGAGACGTGGTTTTTGAGCGCGAGTTCTGTCATTTGGCAGTGGATGAATGCTACTTGCCACGCTGACGCCGATTTTTGGATGGCTGGTCCGCTCGCGGACTGCCAGTAGTCTGTTTCACTTTTTGCCCTCCTGATAAAGCAGTTGTGGCAGACATTCCGTGATACCCAACACCCACGCCCGGAAAAGCGGTCCAAAACTCGGCATAAATGCTGGAAAGACGTAGGGCAGAATGAGGTGTCTTGAGGTTGAATGTGCGTATACTCTTTGCAGAGCCAAAAGAGTGCTTTTGAAGTCCAAGGGACTCATGCAGCAGCATACCTAAGACTAAAATGAGATGAACAGTGCTGTTCCTAAAGAGGCAAAACACATGACACGCCATAGTCGGAAGATTCTCATATCGGCGCATCGAAAAGTACGGACAACAATTTGCAAACGCGGAGGTAATCACCAGTATAACTAGAAAAATGGTACGGGGGACTTAGATAAATACCTCAAGGGCTCTAACGGTGTGATCGAAAACTGCCAGTCGCAGTTAATTAGGCTGCAAAAGTTTGCTTGCCGACACCTCTAAATGCAAATGACAAATCTTCTTATATCAAGAGGCAATATAAGTAAATTGCCCTGTTTACCGTTGCCAGCATTTACCCGGATGCAAAACGAAAATGTGCGGATATTGGGGAAAATGAGAATGCTTCAACGGAGTTTGAAGTTAAAAGCAACTCCTGTAGCTTCCT